ACTCATAAGTACAGATCTTGGAGTAGAATTGGGTATTTATGCCCAAAGGTTCATTGGGAAGTTTTGTTACTAGATGGGTTGATAAGCATTAGGGTTTTGAAAAACACAATTCATAATCGGGAAAGTATATAGGAATGAGCCAATATGTGGAGGTTAAACAGGAATAGGTCTTATTTGGGAAGCCAAAATAGATTGTTTAAGAATAGCTAATTAGGGATTTAAGTATGAGCCAATTTACGAAACTGATGCAAGGTTAGAAGACCTTATGTCTTCTGTTTCTTTTCTGACTTGGTTTTTCTTGGGCCATTAGATGCATTAACATGACTTGGACCAGCATCAATATTATGAGAGGCTTTTTTATCTTGACAAGATGGTTGCTTAATGCATACACAAATTAGAATTGATGAGAATTTTTGAAAATAGGTCACTTCGAGATTTTTCACATTCCATTAGCTTGGTAAATTACATTTTTATTTCTTATTGGCCATGCCCAAATTCCTTTTGGTTAAGTTCCAAAGATTGGATCTGTGCTTCTAACTGATCTCCCATCTCATTTGAATTGCTACCCCAGATGAGCAAAAGATTTCCATTATGCAATGACATGATGAATGAATGATGATGATGATCAATGAATGAGTGATATGCATGAAATAAATGAAAACAGACAAACAAATAAATAAATAATTGTAAACTTATTGATGTTAACATGATTCATGCAAAAGAAAGTAACAAACAAGAACAAAGTTAGAAACTAATATAAAGAAAGAAAAAAAAACAATTTAATGCATAACTTAAAAGATATGTGAACTAATTTGGAGTATTTCTACAAAAAAAAAAAGACATGGATCTACTTATAGGTATTACAACTCACTATATGTGGTTTAGGATTGATCCTATAGGTTTCCAAATTGTTTCTCACATCATTGTGCATCACAAATTAGTAAGGCGTCATAATCCTCACCCATTATAGGTTACAAGTAGAAATGGTTCAATTCGAGTAGGAATGTTTTGCTAGCCCATGGGAAGACATAAAATCTCACGAAGGCATAGGTACCTTACTCCCTCTTAAGGGACAGAACTCGAATTTAAAACTCATGTTATGTATATGTAAATGAATGATAGATATATAAAATGAATTAATGAATAAATAAATAAAATACAAGCAAGAGAAAAAAATTAAATTTATTAGGTTAGGCTTGGATAATAAGAAATTATTTACTAGCCTAACTCTCAAACTCTCTAGTAGAGTTGTCAAACTGTCATAGCGTATAGATTCGTAAACCCATAGCTAGACATAGACTTTAAGAGTCACCATCAATCCTTTTTGTTTAGGTGCGATTGACCACCTAATTAAATTTGTCCTATTTTAAAAGTAGTCCCAAGAAAGACTTAGGTATATTTAAATAGTATATTCTAAAATCCACGAAATCAGATTTTAAGTTCAAAAGTGTAATTACACGTAAGGAAGGTTATAGCACCCTTACAAGGCCCATCAAAGCATGGTACCAGTTTGATTTCAAATTATACAAGCCTTAAAATATTCTTGTAATTTTACTTAGTAATTTAATTATTAGAATTGATCCTAAAATTACTCAAATAATTTTGTAGCAATTTAAGATACTTTTCTCACCTCAATAGTATTTATAGAGACTAATGTGCTACGCTGAAGAGGCTCCATTGTCGAGTTTATTAATATATTTTATTTAAAAAATAATCAATAAAATCCTCCAATGATTTGATAAGATTTTATTTTGAAGTAGATCTCCTAATAGTTTTGAGAGATTTTATTTGAAAATCATTTATAAAATTTTACTTTGAGAAAATTTATTAAAATTTTCAATAGTTTGGTAAGATTTAATTCAAGATTTTGATCCTCCAATAGTTTGATAGGATTAAAAATATAATATTTTATTTTATTTAAAAAATTCATTAAATCATTTAATAGTTTGGTAAGACTTAATTCAAGATTTAAATCCTCTAATAATTTAATAGGATTGAAAATTTATTAAAAAAAATTATATTATGAAATTCTTCAATAGTTTGGTAGAATTCATAACTTAAAATTTCTAAACCCATTAAATAAAAACTTACAATTTAAAACTCACAATCTTTAAATTTTATTTTAAACATACATAAAAAAAGTGAAATAAATGACTAAATATATAAATAAATAAAATCTGAAAAATTTCTTTAATGGATAGAGACATGCCTTGATGGAAACATCCCTTAATCTATAGTGACAGATAATCACAAGTTCTAACCAAAAAGCTCTGTCACCAATTCTAACCAAAGAGCTTAGGTATAGATTGCTACTCATCCATTTTCTGGTGGGTTTTTTTTTTTTTTTTCTTTTCCTCCTTTTTGTGTATGGTTTATTAGTGTTTATATAAGACCCCATGCTAATAAATTTAGAGATTTGCATTGAATGAAATTTGATTATGCTTTGAATTGATTTTTTCTTTATTCTCTTAAAAATCTGTTTAATTAATTTCTAGAATTGTCTTGATTTTTCTTGATTTTCAAAATCCCTCAAAATTTTCAAATTAAATTTAACTTTGATTCCCTGATTTGCTTTCTTTTTAATCTTCTTTTAATGTTTAAACAGATCATGTTTTAGTCTTAATTGCCAAGATCATCTTTGATTAGTACTTAAATTACTCCACAAATTTCATTGACATGAGTTATGATAAAAATTTAAAATCAGTTAAATAAAAGACGAGAACATAAAATAAATAAATAAATAAGATATAAAAAAGAAATGTAGGAAATTGGATAATTGGGCTTGGCTTGAGCCCTGAACTAAATAAGGTATTTGCAACTTCATTAAAATATAAACTAAAAATTAAATATAAAGATAAAATAAAACAAGTCATTTTATATATATTATGTATGAAATAAAAATTAAATATAAAGATAAAATAAGCAAGCTATTTTATATTATGTATGAAATGTTTAGATTAATTTTTAAGGCTGTATATTATACTAATATTGTTCCAAAAATTAAAAGCAGATTTTTTTTTTTGCTAAAATGTGAATTTTAATATTAAAAAATAATAAAAAAACATCACACTTTGAAACAAAGGGGAATAAAACAAAGGGAAACAAAAAGAAAAAAATCAATGCAACAAATAATAATAAAAAAAAAAGAACATAATGGAATTATAAAACAAACATATAATACTATTATCTCCAGTCGACAAAAACATATTTTTATTTATAATATTAAAGTTGGTGTGAAAAATTAAGAATAAAATTTAATTAAGAGTGATTTAAAATAAATAACAATTAACTTTGATTACAAATTGAATTGAACTTATTTATATAAGGTAAAAGTAGTAATGAATATTTAAAAGAGAATAAATGCAATAATCTAAATGAAATAAATTTACTTTTTTTACATTAAAAACTAATCAAATCAAATTAAGTATATTGATTTTTTAAAATTAAAAATGTATCCAATAAAATAAAATATATTTATTAGATGACACATGTCATTTATTCATTATTGTGCACGTGTTAAAAAATAGAACATCCACATTATTTTTTTTGTCAAAAGTTTTGATTTTTATATATTTATATAAGATATAAGATTTTTATTTTTATTTGTATTATTGACCAAATTACTTGTAATTTATTTGTATAAGATAAAAATATTAGATATTTAAAAGGTAATAAATGTAATTAATTTAGTTTAACTAATTATTTTTAAGTAATAAAAATATTACTATAAAAATAATAAAAATATTTTAAATAAATATAATATATTTATTAGAGAACGCATGATAATTTTTTTTAAACACATTCACATGTCAAAAATATAAATTATTCATATTGAACTTTTTTTTTTATCAAGGGCTTTTACTTTTATATAATTATATAAGATATAAAATTAAATTTAGTCATTAGATTAATGTGAATATTTGACTTGATGCAAATTTATGCTCATCAGGGAATTGATTTGGTGCTACCAGCATCAATTGATATATAATATATTAAGTCGACTAAAAATTAAAATTAATTAAATTAAAATTTAATTCAATTGATTTATATAATTATTTTTAAAATATAATATTTGTCAAATTTAAAATTTAAATCTTAATAGTTACAATTTTCTTTTTTTATCCGCAAGTTACAGCTTCATTTTAATGATATAAAAACAAATTTGTTTAATTTTTTTCTCTTAATTTCAGAATTTATACTTCCATAATCCATAAACATGGGCTACCTGCTACTAAACTGCAATGCTTTTCTTTATATAATGGGAGAATACTTGAACAAAGCACTTAGCTGGGATAAAAATAGGTTCATTTTCATTGCTCAATAATTGATTGCTTAAAATTTTGATAGTTTGGCCAATCTTTTCACTTTTGCAAATCAAGGGATTAAAGCTAGGCAGCTAGCTAGCTACCTCATTTAGCTACAAAACCAAATGGGAAAGGAAAAAAAAAAAATTAAAGGTGAGAAACCTAAATATTATTGCATTGTTGTTTTACTATTTATTTTTTCCTTTGCTTTTTATCAAAAAATATTTGATATTTGAAGGAAAAAGTATAAAAAATGTTATCTAATAATTTAAAATAGAATTTTGTTAACGAGTGCTCTTATAACACTATTTAAAGTTATGATGCTAGTAGGTAATTTTTTAAATTTATTAAAATTTATCAAATTAATTATCAATTACTACATGTAATATAACAATATAACTATAAAATAGTAATTTAAATAATTTTAAAAAGTAATATAAGAATATGACCATAAATTTTAATAAATTTAATTAATAATCATTTTTTTTTTATTTTTTTACCAAAAATTGAAAACAAAAATATCAACCGATTAAAAATTAAAAAGAAAAAGTAGGGGCAGACCAACATTCTTATTGGGTCAGGCCTAGGAGATAGATAAAAGGCCATAAGTGAGTCCATTTTAGTCAGCCCAATTAACTTCAAATCGACCAGCCCAACACTTTCTCCAAAAGTAAAAGGCTTTCGTGATTTTTATTCTTTTCAAAAACTGGAGTGACCTCCAAGCCATCTCACAGTATTTTCTTCTTCTTGTTCTTCTTCATTTAAGCTCGCTTTTGCTTAAATCAAATCAGTTTATCGTGGAATTAATTTTAATACCAAAAGCCTAAAATCTACGATGTCGGTACGTCAATTTTCTTTTCTGAATTTCTTTTTTTTTTCCTTTTCTGAAAACCTAATTCCTCGAAGCTTAATAAATGATTATTGTTTTGGCGGATGATAATGCAGATCTTCGAGTACAATGGGAGTGCCCTAGTAGCCATGGTAGGCAAGAACTGCTTCGCCATCGCCAGCGATCGGAGACTCGGGGTTCAACTCCAAACAATCGCCACCGATTTCCAGAGGATTTCTAAAATCCACGATCGCCTCTTTCTCGGTCTCTCTGGTCTAGCCACCGATGCTCAAACCTTGTACGCCCTTTTTTACTTAATTTCTTCCCTTTCCCTTCCCTTTTCTATAATTTTCTTTTAGTAATGGTAATATTTGAGCTTCTTTTTTATTTTAATTTTAATTTTTGTAGGTATCAAAGGCTTTTGTTTCGGCACAAGTTGTATCAGCTAAGAGAAGAGAGGGACATGAAACCTGAGACTTTTGCTAACCTTGTTTCTGCTCTTCTTTACGAGAAAAGGTTGATTTAAACCCTCTCCCCCCCCCCCCCCACTTGATTCTTTTATGGATTAGTTTTATTAATTTCTTAGATTAGACTCTTTCAATAGTTGAGCTTAGCTCTTAAGTTTAATGAAACAGACGGGAAGGTTTTGTTTTGTTTTATGCTGCCAAATTCTAGCTCTTGATTATTTCGGCATTCAGATTAATTAAAAAGGGGAATGGCATGTATAGTTCCTAATCTATAGTGAAATGTTCAATGTGATATCTAACTTTAAAAATTTTAAATGTGGTACCTAAACCATTAATTTATTGACTAATGTGGTACTCATCTCTAATGCGCTTAGCTTTAAATGATGACATGTGGCAGATAAACAACTCATGAAGTACCACCTTAGTAAAAATACTAGGACATAAATTAACTTCTTAATGATGGCAGTCGAATGAGATGGTAGGATTAGTCGATACATGGTAAAATGAGATTTGTTTTTGTTATACAGTACCCTTGAATAATACTATTTACTGTGGCTAGAAGTAAAGGTAATTTCTTTTCTATAAAAAATAAGTTCAGGACAGGAAAATTTTTCGATGTGCATTTCGAGGAAAAAGCCTTACTTATATCCTTGAAGGGAACTAACCCACTTGTCTTATGACAAAAAACTGAGCATCAAAGATATTCTTGGCCTGCCATTTTCATAATTTCATGTTTACCCTCAAAACCTAACAGATGGACTCTTCATTTCCTAATAAAGCCAAGCCCTTCCTTGATGACATGTCAATCTTGAGAGGAATTTGTAGGAAGCATGAGATTTGCAGTGGGAATTACACTTGAAAAGTGTGCACTTTGTTTATGTGTGTCATAGATATGTTTTATGACATGTTTTCTTTTTTCCATAGGTTCGGTCCATACTTCTGCCAACCAGTGATTGCTGGATTGGGAGATGAAGACAAGCCCTTCATCTGCACCATGGATTCCATTGGAGCCAAGTAAGTTGATTTCATTCTCTTGTTTTTGAAACCAAAAGGCATGGATTTGTCTTAGTTGCTTAGAGTATTTATATTTATTTGTACTTATAGTAGTATATACCTTACCAAGAGGCTTGTTCTTGTAAAACAAATGCATGTAAGTTTGCCTTGGTAAATATAAGCTTTGCTGCTCAAATCTCTTTGTGGAAAATGATAAATTAATTTCATTTCTTATCAAAAGCTGAAGAAAGAAGAGCTTTTACTCTATGTTAACAGGTTGGCTACTGACCTGTGACATATAAGAGGGAACCAGAAATTTTAACACTGTTTAGTAGAAGAAGCCACTATTATTCCAAAACCAGAAATTTTAGTATTTTTTAGTGAATAATCTGCTGTTGTGCAAACCAGTAATTTGGGCACTGTTTGATAAAAGAATCCCACTATAGTTCCAACTCAGTCATAGACAACTTTTGACAAACATGATTCTTGACACGTGACAAACTAGGGGCTTGGGGTCTCAATCAATAGTGGAAGAAACATGATGTTAACAAAATCAAGAGTAACACCCTCCATACATTCTTTACTTCATCACCTTCCACACATTATAAACTGGAAAAAACCTTCCTCTAGCCCCCAACTCTACATAATTAATTTCCTTTTATAAAGATGTTATTTGTTATTTTGTATGTTGTTGTTAATAGTTTTAAGAAATATAAATGTTAAAAATGTCATGCATGTTTTCTTTGGTTTTCAAGGAAATACAAAATGTATATATTCATATTGATTGCATTAAAATGAAAAATTCAAGAAGTTGGTGGTCAGTGGCTCTTTAAAATGAAATTGTTATTGGGTTTGATTTTCACAGACTACCATATGTTTAGTTGATGGCCGTTAGTCAGTTGCTCTTTAAAATGAAACGTTATTGGGTTTGATTTTCACAGACCATCATATGTTCTGTTTATGGCTGTTGCCCTATTCTCCTTTCTGACTTTTAAATTTGGAACTTCCCAATTGGAGGATGGGTGCAGCTATCCTTCCTGAAATAGCAATAACTTTACAATTAGAAGAAATATCCAAGTTTTTTAGTAGTGGTGATTTATGCTTTGTATATGGATAGCGTTTATATCACGGTGTTAGCAGTTTACTTTTGATGCCATTAAAATTTTAAGAGGATATGGGTAGCATTTATATCTGTCATTTCCTTTTCATCTCTATCTCTCTCTCTCTCTTCTGGAGATTTGTCTAATACATTTGCTTCATATTCTTTTTTTTTATTACTAAAAGCTTCTTGAAGCAAATGCTGATACTATGTTGGTTGTTATGTTTGGTTTCTTTTAAATGCAGGGAGCTTGCAAAAGATTTTGTTGTAGCTGGCACTGCCTCTGAGTCTCTCTATGGTGCTTGCGAGTCAATGTTCAAGGAGGACATGGTTTGTCATTTTATTTATTTTCCTATGCTCAGATTGAAACACATCCACATTCGCAATAAATCCTTTTAAGAAGTGTAAAATTCTATTTTTTAATGTGCTTGTATAACCTAAAAGCTAAGACATGGTGCCCAATTTTGGAGTAGATAAGTTTACAATTTACTGGGTCATAGTTAAAGTATTGTGGTTTTTTGCTATAAATTATTAATGCCAGTAACACAATTCATACTTTACTGATTCATTGTTTTCTTCTTATTCAGGAACCTGAGGAATTGTTTGAAACAGTTTCCCAAGCCCTCCTTTCATCAGTAGATCGTGACTGCCTGAGTGGTTGGGGAGGACATGTCTATGTTGTGTAAGCATTTACAAATGTCTTTCATATATATTTTTCTTGCTAGCATTTTTTTCCTAGGGTTATATTTGTTAAAGGTTTGCCCAAGCAAATCGGGTTGTTATTCTAACCTTGCAAACCCTTCCCTTTCTCCTATAAAGAAACTGCAGTATTTAGTTGTTTCTTGAATGATGATGTCTGGGTAGCTAAAACCTTAAAATTTGCTTAGAGGTAATTGATGCCATTTTAACGTATTTGATATCTACATTTTGCAGCACCCCTACCGAAGTAAAGGAAAGAATCTTGAAGGGAAGGATGGATTGAGTGCAGCATGTGTTTTCAAGATTCTTCATTGCCAAACTATAGAACTTTCAGTTTATTTTCCATTGACTAGTGCTGGAATCTGATGTACTCTGGTAAATTCTGAAAAAATTGATTGACTAAGTTCTATATTATCGGCAGCATGGTGAATTTCTGGTGCACATGATGCCTTCTATTCGTTTTTCCTGTTGATGTTTCTTAGTCTGATTAAATGCACGCATTATGTTGGATTATTTGGGTTGGGTTCTCTCCCAAAATTTTATTTGGATGAACATTTTTTTTCCTTTTCTCCTTATGGTAAATTTCCCTTGTGACTAGGACCGGGCACTGGACACTGATTGGTGATGGGCCTCGGTGGCTTGTACTGGGACGAAGGCCTCGGTTTTCACTTCCTAGTGAAATCTCATCTTGTTAGTATATTTAAAGGACAAAAAAAAAAAGGGAAATGGGTTAAAAGAAGGAAAGAGATTCTTGATCTGAAAGACAGTTACTGTGACCGTTGAAGGCAAATGGGTTTTCTCTTCCCTCCCTCCTTTCATCCTCTGTTTCAAATTAAAACACAAATGGCATCCTTTTCTTCCCAGCAATACAAGTCAAACCTTGGGCTTCTATGTGTTACTAAGAAATAGTAACTCTCTCTCCAAAGAAACATCTTTCAAAATTGGGATGACACAGATTTTTGGTTTCTTTCTTTTCCACGTGGGATAAATTTTCCTATTCAAACTTACACCAATATGAATTTTCACTTACAAGCACTCTCAAAGCAATTTTAGATAAAATAAATAATAATAAAATCATGTTTCATGGAAAAAAGTTCAATGATACAAAACCAAAACAAGGTTCTTTTGTATACTTCAAGTTTCAAACCCCGAATCCTTCTTTCCCACAATCAAATTAATGTCAATCGCCTTTGGCTTTCCATTTTGACCTTTGATCTCAACTATGTTCTTTAACCTTAATTTTTGGAACACTATTCTGATCTTATCTGTACACTAATGCAGGAGTTAATTAGAAATCAGTAGATATTGTTTGCCGTTGCCAACCAAGTCAACAGATTTTATGATGGACAATGTCATCAGTTCATTGTTCTCAGGCTTCATAGACGCCATTAACAAACTTCTTGGCTCTCCACTCGACTTTCTTGCCGGAAAGTCCTGCAGGTACAATCGTCATCTAACTTTTATTACGAGTAATGGGGATTTTGAATTTTGAACTTTGGATGAATCAAATTAATATTGGTTTCCCCAACTTAATTTACTTTTTCTTATTCCCATGTTTGGATGATCATGCAGTTCAGTTTGTGGACCAACATGGGATTTTATGTGTTACATAGAGAATTTTTGCGTTGCCAATCTACTGAAGTTGGTCATGGTATTGGTTCTATCCTATATTGGTAAGTTTGAAAAGCATTTATGCTAAAGTAAAATTTCATCTTAATAAATAAAAAAAAAAAAAGACGATGGCTCTAGTATTTCAATTGTTCCTTTTAATGATGTGCAGTTCTCCTATTCTTTTATCTGTTATACAAAGTGGGTATCTGCCAGTGCATTGGTCATGGTCTTTGCAGAATGGTATGGGGATGCATTTCATGCTGGTTCTCATTTTGGGAATATTTCTGCACTTTCTTGTGCTTTAAGCTTCGAAAGGTTAAGAGGATAAATCGACGGCGTAGAAGAGTAAAGGAATATCAGTTTGACACTAGTGAAGAATATGATGATGATGGTGATGATGATGAAAGCTTTGCATATCGCATTTCTAGACCAATTGAGATAAGCAGTAGGTCACTATCTGGTGGATGGAGAAACTACAGAGAAGTGCACCTGAGGAAGTCTTTGAGGCCTAGAAGTCATCGAATAAAAGTGGGGATTAGTAGAGATGCTGTTTATAGAAAAAACCATACTAAGCATGGACATCATCTAAACACAGTTCATGACATTAGGGTCACACATACATCAAAATTTGCACAGAAAGGTTCAAATTATAGGGGAAGCGTTCATCGTAGCAGGAGATTATTCTAAAAGCCGACAATCTTTTTCTTGTTAATCTCATTCATACTATTTTACAACAACATCGTAATGTCATATTCTTTTCTATCATAGCTTGTTATCAGATAAAATGGTTGTCAATCTTTCAAAATTTGACAAGCGTTGGCTTTTCCCTCGATGTGATCGAAATTTCTGTCATTGAATTCACTATTTATTGATTTCAAATAATTGATCGAGATAAATTGTATCTTAAATATAAAATAAAAAATTATAAATGTTAAAATTTAAAATTTTAATTTATTAAATATTATTTTTTAAAAATAAAATTATATGAACTAATAGAATTAAGTCTTGGGTTTAACAAAGACAAATTTTGACACATGATCTTTCTATCAACCGCTCCCTATAGTGGAAATTTAAAGGTAACAACTAATTAAACCATCCACTGCTCATTTTTCTTTCACACCCTACGTACTTTCTCTTCTGACATTGAAAGCCACCGCAATGCTTGACTGACTGCAGAATATATAGTTTATTTATTCCTTTTCACCCTCTGCTATTGCATTGATAAGAATAAGGTAGCTCTCATAGCTGTTCACTGGAATGCATTATAATATATATTGAGATAGTCCTTATCTTGAATAATATTTGCTCTTTCCAAGCAAGAATCAAGTTCTCTAGCATATATATGACCTTTTCCAAATTAGGACTTCTCCCAATTGTACCCTTTTTCTCTGTACTATCACAATCCCTTCAGTTTTTGGCATGTATGGCTTTTGATTTGTCAATTTTCATCAGATAATTCCATTTCAACAACCGTGGGAATTCTCTTTTTTCTCTTCTTTTTAATATTTCCTAATAGTTGTCAGAATAAGTAGCATAATAATTCTTAAGCATTTTAATTAATTGTAAGGGAAATTTGTCTCCAAAGACCATATACTTGCTGATCGTATAAGCAAGTATGAAATATGTTTATTCGATTGTATCCATATCAAGGTTGTTAGTTTCATACTAGTGATCGCGTCAGTTTTGAACTAATCCAGTAAGCCTCTATTATGATTTTTGTAGTGCTCCCTTGGTATCGGATCGTACCAGTCAATATTGAGTGTTTTGGCTTATTTCAAATTATTTTGGAGAAAAGTTATATCTATCCATCTAAAATATTGATACGATACAAAACAGATACGAAAAAAATATAAAAAAATAATAAAATTTAAAATTTTAATAAAAATCATATATAAGTTTAATAAAATAAAAATATATATATTTTATATTTTCGTATCGATACAAATTGTAACACATAATTTTCATGTAAAATACTAAATGAATATACGAATTGATAGAATTTTACATAATACAATTACAAGAATTGTTGTGTCTATGAAAAATGATATTTCGTCAGTAAACAAAATAGTATATCATTTATCTTTTTTTCTTTTGGTTTTTTTAATATTAAAAGATAATATGCATATATATATTTAAATCTAAAAGTTATTGAATCTATTATTTTTCTATTTTTTCTTAATTTTTGGATAAAAATATTTGATAATATGAAAAAAATTTTTGTTTAATTGCATTAAATTCTAGTTTGATTTCATATATTTGATTGTTGTAACTATTAAGAATGTAGAGTCCAATCCTATGCTGGCACCGCAAAGAATAGAAAGAACAAAAGCCAAAAATTTAAAGATATAAGGGAGAAGGAAGAGTTGGTTAAATAAAAGTCGATCCGTGGTTCAATTGAGTTAAAATTTTATCAGCAGGTTTATAATTCAAAGTTTTACTTTTTGAAAGGTGAAGATCGAGTTTGAAACTCTCTAGGAACAAATCTAGCATATATTTGTTGAGTCACCTATTTAGTAAAATTTCTTTAATTGTCTCTCTAGTTATTGATTAGCTCTAGTTTTAACTAAATGAGAACTTCGTATATCTATTATTTGATAGTAGAGATTTTTCTAGTGGTTTATGATTTTTTTTCTCTACATTAAAAGGTTTTTCATGTAAATTTTAATGTGCTTTATTTTTTTGTGTTGTTGATTGTTGATTGTTATCTATTACTATGAGTTTATTGCGATATATTGCTTTTGCATTATTGTGTTTGTTGCTTTAGACCTAACAAATGATATCAAAACGAGGGTTATTTTTTAGACATCAATACAGAAGCAACTTAGAACAGAATAAATTCTATTTGAGATCATAAATGGAGATATAGGTTCCATAATAAATTTGATAGCATCAAATTATTCAATTTAAAAGCCTATGATGGAAGATCATTTATACTGCAAAGATTTGTGTGAGTCAGTATTAGGTCATTCAATTAAACCAGCAAATACGAAAGATAAAAGCTAGAAAAAATTAGATAAAAAAATGCTGGCTACAATAAGAAAATAGATTGATATCAACATGTTTCATCATGTAGTATAGGAAACAGATGTTTACACTGTTTAAAAAAATTGACAGCATTGTATGAGAGAAAAACATGTATGAATAAAATTACACTTGTTAAAAAGCTTACAACTTTACAGTATAAGGATAGATGATTGGTTACATAGCACTTAAGTGATTTTTAAGATGTATTTAATCATATGACTATTATGAAGCTTAAGATAGAAGATGAAATAAAGGCATTATTTCTTTTGAGTTCATTGCTAGACAACTAAAATACTCTAGTTATGAGTATTATTAATTCAGCTCTTAATTACAATGTGACATAAAAGATAGTAAAAGATAGTATGCTTAATGAAAAAGCAAAGTAAAAATATTTAGAACTTAGGAATCAAACTCTTTTCATAGAAAACAGGGGTAGAAATATCAACAAAGGTTAAAACTCAAAAAGCTATAGTAAATTTAAACATAAATCCAAGTCCAAAGATAAAGTAAAGTGCTTCTATTGTGGTAAAGTAGGTTATATAAAATTATACTGCAAAATCTTGAAGCAAAAATGAAAAAATAAAAAAGGTAAAAGTTCAGATAATGATAATGTTACAACAGTGAATTCAAATAATGATTCAGTTATCTTGATTTGTTCACATGGTGATTGTAATCATATTGATGATCCTGACATTCAGTGGATAGTTGACATAGGAGCGGCATATCATTGTTTTCCTAATAGAGAGTTGTTTATAACTTACAAAGTAAAAAACTTTTGTTACACCAATATGAAAATAAGAATGTGTCATAGATTGTTGAGATTTGTAATATTATTGAATAAACTAGTACGAGTTGCATGTTGACTTTGAAGGATGTCAGAGACATTTCGGATATGAGAATAAATTTGCTTACTATTAATATCATTGATAAAGAAGGATATGAAAGTCGACAAAAGAATTAGAAGTGAAAGCTTCTCAAAGGATTTATGGTAATTACAATTGGAAAATTATGCTGCATAATATACAAAACATATATGCAATTGAATAGTAACCAGATAAATGCCATTGAGAAAGATGTTTAAGTAAACTTGTGGTATAAAAGCTGGCACCCATGAGCAAGAAAAGGTTAAAAATTTTGTTAAAACAGTTTCTCATTATCTTGACCAAAGGTATGTCTCTTAATTCATATGATCATTGTTTATTTAGCCAGAATAGTAGAGTTTTTTTTGTAAGAGTTCTCAAAAAAAGAAAATAAATTAGAATTGATTCATTCTGACGTATGTGATCCCATTAAGATTGAGCATTATGTGGTAGCAGATATTTTGTTACTTTTATTTATGATATTTTGAATAAGACTTGGGTGTATATGTTTAAAAATAAAAGTCAGATATTGTAATATTTTCAAAAATTTTATGTCATAGTGGAAAAGATAACAAAATTACCCTTGAAGTGTATTCAAATTGATAATAGTAGAGAATACACATCCAAAGACTTTGATAAATATTATTTAAAGTATAGAATCAGGCATGAGATGACAGAACCTGAAACACTACAACATAATAGTGTAGCTAAAAGGATGAACAACACCATTATGAAAAAAGTTAGATGTATGTTGAGGATGACAAAATTACCAAAGCCATTATGGGATGAAGTAATCAACACAGCTTGTTATTTGCTTAACAAATCACCATCAGTTTCTTTGGGCTTTAACATTCCAGAAAAAGTATGGATAAAGAAATATGCTTTATACTTTCACTTGAAAGTTTTCGAATCTAAAACATTTATGCATATGCCGAAAAAGCAGAGGTCAAAGCTTGATAGTAAAGCCATACAGTATATGTTTATAGGATATAGTGATGAGAAATTTGACTACAGAGTATAAGATCTAGTGAAAAAAAGACAGTCAGAAGCAGAGATGTGTTTTTTCATAAAAAATCATAGTAGACCTTGAAAAAAATGAGAAAACTACATGGGTTATTATTGAGTGTGATGTTTCAACAGTGATAAGCCACATATGGTAAAAATAAATAAGAAACAAAACTTGAAAATATGAATGAGTTAGCCATAGTTAGTGATGAGACAAATATAATCAATTTTAATCAAAGAGAGCAATTCTCTCTACCAGAGAGTGTTGAGCAAGGCGAGTAGTCTTCTTCACCAAAAAGTGTTGAGCTAAGAAAACTATCTTTGGCATCAGATGATGTAGAGTCTCAGCTTAAAAAAATTATCAAAGAGCACAAGCCATTCATCAAGTATCGAAGTTCAGATTTTATTTTAGTTACCAATGATGGAGAGCTAAAAAGCTTTCAAGATATACAAACTACTTTGGATAAAGAGCATTGGTTAAAAACAATGAAAGAAAAAAGAAAGTCATTGCAAAAAAAATGGTACTTATGAACTTGTTAAACTTACAAAAAGGAGAAAGCCATTAAAGAATAAATGGGTATTCAAGTTGAAAAAGAATGATGACAAACTAGTGAGGTACAAAGCTCGATTGGTGGTGAAAGATTTTTTTTAGAAACCTGATATCAATTTTGATGAGATCTTTTTCTCCAATAGTAAAGATAAGTTTTATTCAAGTGGTACTGGGATTAGCAACTAGTTTGATTTTTGAGCTTTAGCAACTTAATGTCAAGTTTGCATTCTTGCATGGTAACTTGTAAAAAGACATTTTTATGAATCAATTTAAGGGTTTTGAAGTGAAAGAGAAAGAGCACTTAGTTTGTAAACTAAAAAAAAGTTTGTATGGCTTGAAACAAGCTTTATGACAATGGTACAAAAAATTTGATTCTTTATGGTAAGTTATAGCTATAAAAAAAATGGTAACGGATCCTTGTGTGTATGTCAAAAAATTCTTTGATGATAACTTCATTATTCTTTTATTATATGTTAATGATATGTTAGTTGTGGGACAAGATATAGGTATGGCTTACAGGTTGAAAGAATAATTGTCTAAGTCCTTTGACATGACAGAATTAAGTCCAGCAAAGTAAATTTTCGGTATGGATATTATCCGGGATAGGAGAATTAGAAAGCTATGTTGTTACAAGAAAAGTATATTGAACGGATATTTAGTAGATTTAACGTGTAACATGCTAAATCAATTAGTCCACTAACCAACCATTTTTATCTGAGAAAAAATCTTATCCGATGACTAAAGAAGAGCAATTAGCTATGTCTAATATTCTTTATTTTTTTATAGTTAGTTTTTTAATGTTTCTTATAGTTTGCACATCATTTGACATTACTCATGGAGTTTGAGTAGTGAGAATATTTCTTTCTAATCCAAAAAAGATTCATTGGGAAGCAATGAAATAAATTTTCAGATATTTAAGAGGCATATAAAAAATATGCTTGAGTTATGAAGTTTCACAATCAGTTCTAAAAAAGTTTACTGATGCTAATATGACAAGTGATCTTGGTGATAAAAAATCTATTTTAGAGTATTTATTCACTTTTGTAAGAGGAACTGTGTCTTGACAGTCTAAGTTGTAGAAGTGTGTTACCTTGTCAACTACAGAAGCTGAGTATATTGTAAGAATCAAAGCAGGTAAAAAAATACTTTGGATGAAATATTTTTTTCTTAAATTTGGGTTAAATCAAAAAAAGTATGTGATGTTTTGTGATAACCAAAATACTTTATATTTAAATAAGAATATCATATACCATGTTAGAACAAAGTATATTGATGTTAGATATCACTAGTTATGTTCAGTGATTGAAGAATAACATATACAATTGAAAAAAGTTCATACTAATGAGAATGCGATAGATATGTTGACTAAAACACTTCTTAAGAAAAAGTTTAAGCTTTGTAGTAACTTAGCTGAAATGGGTTTTTTAGCCAAAGTAAATTTCAAATGAAACTGCTATGGTAATAAATCTCCTCTTAATAGGGTTGAAAGGGAAAGATTATTAGGAATATGGAGTCCAGCCCTATTCCTTTGGACCAATCAAAAGCATGCCTTTTGACTTTTGCCTTTTAATAAAAAAGAGAGCCCTACATATTAAATGAATGAGGGTTGTTTTGGCTAAAACAAAAGAAAAAAAAAAAAAAAGAGGTGGCACCGCAAAGAATAGAAAGAACAGAAGCCAAAAAATTAGAAAAAAGGGAAGAAGGGAGAGTTGGTTGATAAAAAGTCGATCCATAGTCCAATTAAGCCACAATTTTATCACTAGGTTTATAATTTAGAGTTCTACTTTCTATACGGTGAAGATCATATTTGAAGCTCTCTAGAAATAAATTCATGGTGTATTTGTTAAGTTACCTATTTAGTGAGCTTCTCTAATTGTCTTTCTAGATGTTGATTAGCTCTAGTTTTAATTAGAAGAGAATTTTGTATATCTATTATTTGATAGTGAAGATTTTTCTGGTGGTCCGTGATTTTTTTCCTCTATGCTATAAGGTTTTTCATGTAAATTTTATTGTACTTTATTTTTTTGCATTGTTGATTGTTGATTGTTGTCTATTATTATGGGTTTATTGTGATATTTTACTTTAGCATTATTGTATTTGTTGCTTCAGACCCAACAGTAACTTGATGTTTATATATTATACACTAAACTTATTTTTTGAAATTTAAACTTTAAATGTATTTGTATTGTTGTTTTGTATTGTTAAATAATTTAAATGAGTAAATCTTAATTTTTATCTTATTAGTAATGATATTGCATATAGATCACATTATTATGAATAAGTATTTGTATACTAATAAAAAATCTCGAATCTATAAACCGAAAGAATTAGTATCAATATACATCATTCTTTCTAAAAAATGAAATGATGTCCAGTAAGATATTAAAACTCTTGATCCATAATTTCAATTGTGGTATAATTTTACATGTATATAAAGATGTGAAAAGTAGGAGAATTGCCCCAAAAATAAGGCAAATAGTTGGTATATAATTTAGTTTTATATAAATGGTAACGTAGGAGACATGTTATACTATTGCTTTGCATAAAACAAAGATGCCCTCTCTCCAAAGAAAGCTAAATTTCCGGCTACATTTGAGGCCAAGGGTGGTATCAACGCTGGTTTTGCCAAAACATTCAAAGGAGTAGGAAGAATGAAGAATATTGTCATATATAACGTATTTGGACTTCCATTGCTTCGCATGAAAGTTGCCTCTGTCTAAAGAAAGCTTTAGCGTTATCCCATCTCCTCATTTATCTATATCTCCCTATAGATGGGATCTCTTTTCACCTTACTTGAATAGATCCATTTGTATTCGATGGAAAACGAAGACGCAAAACAATCATCCAAGAGGGAGCCTTTCACCCAACTAGATCAAGTTGACTCAGATTTTGCCATGGCACTGGCATTGCAAGAACAAGAAAGGGCGTTTTCAATGCTCGAAACCATTGAAAGTGATGATAATAGCGAGTCATCCTATGAAAGCAACAACAACGACTATGAATATTTCGAAGGCCTCGAAGCTGGAGGTGACCTAGAGTTCGTTGAGGAACAAGATAGCAATGATGATGAAGATATGGAGGATGAAGAAGATGAGATTGATCCAGACGATTTATCTTACGAAGAGTTGATTGCTCTAGGAGAGATTATAGGAGTAGAAAAGAGAGGGCTATCTCAGGATGAAATTTCTTCGTGCTTGATTCCATGTAAGTTCCAATCTGTTGAGTGCAAAACCGGGATTGATCGATGTGTTATTTGTCAAGTGGAATATGAAGAAGAGGAAGCTCTAGTTGTTCTTCCTAATTGTGAACACCGGTATCACTCAGAGTGCATAACCAAGTGGCTTCAAATTAACAAGATTTGCCCCATTTGCAGCTCCGAAATTTCATCATCCAAGAGTGATAGGAATTTTTAGATCTTTTTATTATCTGGATTGGTACTGTAAATTCCAATGATTCAAGCTCAATTGTACAATTGCAATTCATTGAAAATAAAATGGAGAACATTTATATTTAGGGGAGTTATTAAAGATCTAGAACTGGTAGAAATTGGAACATACTACATGGTTCAAAGACCAATAATTTATATGATTTAAGATTCATTTCTCCTTCATCCTCTAATCTAACCAAGAATCTTTACCATCTCATTCAATATTCTCCAAATACGTGATTGACTGATAGGCATCCACTTAATTCATTATTTTTTACTTAATAATATTTTTTTCTGCTTACATTTTAAGCATTACCTCTCCAAATAGAGCTTAACCAAAAGAAACTCGACCCGAATTGCATTCCTTAAAGCTTGCAGACGTGCATTCTAACCCGAATCAAAAGAAGACCACAATTTATTCAATGCAATTAGACCTCATTAATTATTATAGCCCAATATTCTAGTAACTACATGAAAAAATAACAATATTTAGTAAAAGCATTCCTGACTAAAGCTACTTTTATAGATTTTTTTTTTATCATTATAAGCTAGATGAATCATCCGTAAATCAATTAACTCTTAAGCCATCAGGATCAAGATGAACTTGTTTCTGTGGTAATTACTTTTTATTTGTTGTATTAAAGAAGACAAGGTTGCAAGAATGGTGCTACACAATTATTGCAAGAATGAGAAAATCTCAATTGTTTTACACTTGTATCTAAAATGGATATGGTACTATTTTCTTTTTCTCATATCACTTTTTTTTTTATGAAAATGGAAAACAAATTCAGTTTGTTGTGCATTAAACCTTGTGCAAATAACCTATTGACTTATGAAATCCACATTTCATGTGATTAACAAATTAAACATAAACTTCATGCGAAATGAAAGAAAATTAAATCTAATGCCTAATAGTTACTAAAAAAACCAACCATATATGTCACTCAAATTACACATTCTTATTGCGACTTCAAATACAAATCATTCATTCTCTTAAATTGTCATAATCATCTTAATAAAAATTTTTGACAATATAACCAGGGATGGATCTCAAATGGGAGCAGTAGAGGCAATTGCCCCCACTGAGATTCTAACATCCATTAGAAATTATTATAAAAGTTCTTAAAATATTTTAATTCTTTTATAATTTACCCCCACTAAAAATGAAAAAATATATATATGAGACTTTTATAAATGTTTGAAAGAACAAAATTATAATTGTAATATAAATGACTTATTTTAAAAAAAATAATAGGGTCACATGTATAAATATAAATAAAAGAAACATTTTATAAATAATTTATTATTCAAGGACCATCATTTCATTTAAAAAACAATAAAAATCAAATAAAAAGTTATCTTCTTTCTACTCCATCTATAATTTTTCCCTTCGTCCAAACTTATAAAAATTACAGTAAATAAAGAATAAAAGTAGAGAAATAACAAGAAGACAAAGAAAAGCCAATAAACCAAAGAAACAAATTAAGGAGTGAACATTTTTTTTCTTCCATCAATATATTTAAGTAATTACTTTTTATTTTTGGATTTTTTCTTTGTACTTATTATCATTTGTTTATGTGATAGAATATTTGTTTACTATTTAAATTTTTTTGTATTGGCAAAATAATTTGATTTGGGGCTTAATTTATGATTAATTTATATTTATATTTATATTATAAGTGAATCGAGATCAAAAAATGTTTTACTTTCTTAAGAACATTAATGAAATAATTTAATTTTTATGAAATTATTTTTTATATATAAAATTATATTATTTAATTAAAATTATATGCATATTGATTTTGTTCGCATAATTTCATTTCAATATCTAATATAAACTATAACATTATCTTCTTATTTCTTAGAAATTATATAAACTAAATTATCTAATTTAACTAACTGTGAAAAAATATTTTATTAAGAGAAAGTCAATTTTGAAAGAATTATTCAAAATCAATAATAGTGACACACAATATTTTATAAGACAAGTTCATGTTTAATTAGATTTAGATAATTTTCATCAGATCTAAAGTTATGAAAAAAGATTTTAGACTATCATCCTAATGAAAGAGATAATATTTAAAATTTTTATTTTCACACAAAAAAACCCATAAAAAAATAATTAGAATGTGTTATCTTTGTGTATAAACAAAATAATTTTTTATACATTTGAGTTCATTTATATTTTTTATATTTTTATATTTGATATTATCTATATTAATTGCCTCCACTTAATATAAATCACGAATATGAATATAAGTCCAATTTTACTATTTTTGTGGGATTATATATATCGAAAATATTAAAGCATATGAATTTGTATAACCCAAAAATTATCCAATAGAGGTAATGGTTGGACGCTCTCACTCCATCATTGTAAGTATCAATCCACTTTCAATTTATATATCTTTTTTTTCTATCATTTCATAAATTGCACTCCGTCTATTTCAACTTGAAACTTCTACTATCTCTTTTCCACACAACTTATGGTGCGTTTGAATACAAATAAAGCCACAGCACGTCAGATTGGAGCAATTATTTGCCCAATCGTACTGTGGCAATCTGTTTGGATGCGCCATGAGATTGGGTCTCCATCAAGCTTAAACCTTTTTTTTTTTTGGACTCTCCCACCGCACCGCCTCCTTTCAATTATGCCTTTTTTTTTTTGGGTTATAATGCAAAGATAAAAATATCTCTTCTACTTAATCTTCCTTTTTATTTTTAAAATTTTTATTTTGATTCGTATATTAACTAAAAATAGATAATTACATAAATAAAAAAAGGAAAAAATATTTTTTGATATATCACTAGCATTTTTTTGTTAATTTTAAGTTCTTTATTACTAATAAAAATATTACTTGACATAAAAATAATTTTCAATTATTTAAAAATTTTCAAATATAAGTAATCAAAGCAATAATGTTTTAATATTATAAACAAAAAATTACAATCACATAATTAAAATTCATAAATACTAGGAAAAAAATTTCAAATATCCACACTTCACTAAGATTCATTTTTGCAATTAAACATTGTAAACTAATATAAAATATAAGAATGAACATATTGATTTTACGATTCAATTCAACAGTCCAATTCTTCAATTCAAGATTAGTAAATATGTATTTAAGAATGCAAATCACTGTAAGAGTATACAGTATCAATCCTAAAAATTGTGAATCATCAACGATCCATTAAGTCACAAGATCACTCTAAAATCTATCTAAATCTATCAATATGAAGTGGTTTACGACTTACCCTAAACCATTGCTGACCTCTAATCTTATCATTATAATATTTAATTTTTATTTTATCTTGATTTTCCATCTCATCAAATCCTCTAATGCGTTTGTGTAAAATATGCAGCCTTAGCAAACAAATATTACGCCGGCGTGCTTTATTCTTGGATGCTGACTATCACACCACCATAAACGCTTGCGACTCGAGTGGGGGGTTCAATTTATTGTAGCATTGAAATTTCAAAATTATTAATTACAAAAACCAAAACCACAAAAAAAAAAAAACAAAAATTGAAAACATAAGATAAACGATTGAGGATTCGAGATGCTTTCATGTCATCGAAAAAGTAAGCATACGGCAATTATTAAATTACTACGAATGCAGGGCTGCTTTTAACTTTGCTTCAATCCGAAGAAAACAAAGTTAAAAAGAAACAAAGCCTAACAGACACAAGAAAACGACAGAAAAAAAACCAAGAAAGTTGCCTCTTTAACAACGTTTGAAGATCAAAATTCTATGGTTTTGAATAAAAAACAATTTTTTCTGCGCCGCCACAAGATTGCGATAAACATATTAATAATCTTTTATAAAATAATGGATGTCTAGATCTTGCATGTGGGGCAAAGACTTTTTCACAAATGAAAAAAATATATTTATAAAATATTATATTTTCTTAGATAAATTTTTTAATACAGTTAAGGGATGTCTCCCAATTAATTTTATTTGGATATTTTTAAGTGATTTTGCTATACAATGCTCTTCAGTCTTCATAAATATCGAGCAGATCAACATTAGTTAATAAAAAATATGTATCCCTAAATCTCTTTATAAATCAGAAAGTTTTAGATAAATTTTTTAGTTTTGTTAATGAGTGTTTTACAAACATTTTAATTATTGCATTTAAAATAAAAAATAATTTATAAATAATATCACAAATAATCTTTAAAAATATTTTAAAGACACTTTATAGAAAAATCTCTTTTTTTTTTTAATGAATTGAGATAAAAATACAAAAAAATTAGACCGGCACATAAAAAATGGTGATAGCAACAATTGGGGAAGGTTTTGGTGTGGAGTTGAGATACATTGAACTTTGTCAGGAGTGAAAATTTTAGTACCACATGCCGACATATTCGTTTGTTGTGGGCGCCGCCATCAAAGCACAGAACAGCACAGCCGAAATTGTCTCCGTTGCTACCGCGTGTGTTTGTCTTTTAATTCTTACTCGTTAATCTTTGTGCACGTTGCCCACAAGAACAAAATTAAAATCCAAATATGTGCTAGTTTTTCTCTTTTTTTTTTTTTTTTGGTTTCATTTTGATATACTGAATCACTCAGATCTGAGTGTGTATAAATAGGCAAGCGATGCAAATTTTAATTAATATCAATGTTGGAGGAGAAAAGTTTAGACTTCGTCTGTTAAATGTTTTTATTTTTTTGTAAAAAAATAAAATTTGAATATAAAACTTGTAAATTGGAGACTTAACCAAGTAGTAAGGGAGAGTGGAGTTTTAAGTACTATAATTTCTTGCAAAATTTGACTCTAAATATTTGGTACAACAATTTATACTCTTTTATATAAAAATATTCCATAATAGTAAAAGCACAGAAGTTGATCATAAGCCACTAATTGAAATTGGAGTTGAATCATCACATCTTCAAAAACATTGTAATTTTGGTGATAATTAAAAACAATAAATTATGCAAAAAAAAAAAAGAAAAAATGTAAAAGGATTAAAATATTGGAAAGTTTTTCTTACCCATTGTGAACTGATTAATTGAAAAACTTTAGCATATTCTCAAACTATGGACCAATTGTTGAAACC